CAGGCGCGATCCATCGCGGAATGCAGCTGCTGAGGTCGAATATCTTAAAATGTAGGCCTAGGCATTGGAGAAGATCGACATCGGAATAGGCCTATCGCTCGCTAGGCCAACCCCGACGCGACCCGATTATTTTTGTAGGCCTCACTTAACTTAAATAAATGAAATCCTACCGTTGAGCTGTATGCTTGTTTACCCTGTTGAAATATAGGACATGCCGTCTTCCACAAGCCATATTCCACTGACAGTAGGCCTAGGCAATTTTTGTTCTCTTTTTTTGGCTTCATGGTAAAGGTTTCCTACTGCATAGTCATATCATCGACGTCGCTTCTCGCACTGCATAAACTCGTAACTCGTGTGTGTTTGTGTGGAAAACGTGTTTGTAAACAGCGCGTATATGCCTTGTTCTGATTAGTTACTTGGAAGTTTGATTGACAGCCCGGAAAGGTCTATTGTAGGCGTACTCCAGCATAGCTTACCATCTAACATTTTATTTTCTTTATACAACACAATGCTTCTTCAAAAACACCAACAATTATTTCCATGGGTAAGCACAGAAACAACGAAACTAGATCAACTCTTTAAATTACAGAACAAAACACTTAGAATTTGCTCCAAGTCTAATTCTTTACCACATACTAAACAACTTTTTTTTTACATGTAAAACTTTAAATATTTTTGACATTAATAGGCTTCAAACTGCGATAATTATGTATAGATACGCTAATAACTACCTCCCAGAATCATTTACAAATCATTTTAAGAAACATGGTGAATTACACAATTACCATACACGTGATTCTAATGATTACATTTTGTTTAAATGTTAGACAAATTTTAGCCGTAATTTTGTTAATTTTAATGGACTAAAGTGTGGAATTCTCTTGATCAAAATCTTAAAACTGCACCATCTGTTGTAAATCAAACTACAAAAAAAACATATAATGTCAAATTACGCTGCGTTTTAATAATTATATAAATAAAAAGAACGTTAAGTGAATAATTTGAAATGTGTAACAACTACTGTTTTTTTTTTTTTTTTTTTTTTTTTTTTTTTTGCTTCCTTATTTTAAAAGAATCGGGTATAATTGTTTAACTGTCATTGTATTTTTTTCTTTGTTTGTAAGGGGTGGGTCGATCTTAAAACCTTATTTGGTTTATCCGACTCTCCCTCCCCCCTCCACACAATACTTGTATCAATGAACTATGCACAGTATATTTTTTATTTGATGATGTGTGGAAAAAATGAATAAATGACAAATGACAAAATGACAAATGACTATTATGGAAATAATATGGTTTTGCTAATAAATTACTGTCATTAACTGTCATTAAAGCAAGAAGAAATATTAATTAAAGTGACAATTTAATCAAAACAGAAAAAAGGATAAAATATTAAGATCTCGCCTACATTCATTAATGAACATGACTTTTTTCAATCAAATTATTATTAAAGGGAACTATTTAATTAAAAGTAATTTTTAAAGTAAGTATGGACAAGTCCTTTTAGAATATAAACTATTAAAGAAATATTATTTAAAAAAATCGTTATTAGTGTATTTAAACTTTACTACAAATTTTACAATTGAATTTCTATAGTTTGGAAAGTTTTCATTAAAATTGCAAACTTTAAGCGAAGTGACTGCTGAAATATGCAATGTTTATAATATCCTCATGCATGTTGTCAAAAAAATTAAATGAATTAGAGGCATATAATAAAAAGTTACAATATCAACTATCCTAATGTAAAGCTTGATAAAAAGAAGCCCACCCAACATTGTCCATTCCACTGCCAACCAAAATTTACAATTGTATAGTTCATTATGGGTGGTTTTGTCCGGGTAGTTATGTTGTCCAAGATGGTTTTTGTCTGACTTTCGTCAAGAGTTGATTGAATTAAAGGAGTATAATAGGAAGTCTCAATAATGTAAACTATCCTATTGTAAAGCTAGATAAAAACAAACCCACCCAACATTGTCCCAGGAGGAAGCTCCAACAATTTAGGAATTAATTAAAAAAAAAAACTGTCCAAATTTTTGACTGGTGAGCGTTGTTATCATGTATGCTGTACACTGCAAAACAGCATATCTGATCATGCATTGTACAGACTTAGAACGGACTCATTTTACATTTTTTCTACATTTCATTTTAATAGGCTGTAAATTTTCATGAATATTCATAACTACAGATATGAATATTTAATCTAGAAATCTAACAATGGAAACCTGAATATTCTGTTATTCCAAATTGTGATAAGAATTCTTATAAAGAAATGTGTTTCTATCAGAACGATGTGCTAATAATAATAGCAGTTAAAATTAAAAACTGCAGATTTTGTAGGGCTTTCCAGTGAGATAAAATGTTGGGATGGTATAGAAGTTCATTTCTGCTGCCCAGCAGTAGTTTATATGACAATAAAGATCAAGTTAGGCCCGGGGTGTCGGGTGAGTACTGTAGCACTTAGTGTTGTGGGTATGTACCTAATAATTCTTCTATCATGTGTGTATTATAATGCCAGTGTGATAATACCAATGTTCCTCCTTATCCATTTTTTTATGCTATTTTTTCCACACCTTCCAACCTCAAAAGTCTTCTATTGGGCAGTGTTAATTTGGATTATTTTCAGGTCTGATGTTGTCCTTGTTTCCAATAGTTTTGCACAAAAGAGCCAATGTGTCTTGATGAGTATCAGGCAACTCTAGTTTAACAATAGCATGACACCTTTCAGACCTTTTGAAGCAAGGTGGTTTCCCTTATTTTAGAAATTAAAATTGTACTAGTATACACTGTAGTTAACAATCAGCTCATTCCCAGGGAGCACACCCACTTTCTTTGTGCCTTGTCACCATGACAAAACCTCTATATATGCCACTTACATAGAGAGTTGAAGGAATTTTATGGCAAGAAAATGTATCCGTGGATTTCTTAAATGAATTATTTCCTCTTTTTTTAACATTCATCTTCTTTAGATTTTAAGTCATTTTTTTTAGCATGGAGTACATTTTCCATTCACAGCATCACCTAGCAATTCCTTGAGCCTCACTGTTTTCAGCCAAAGCAAATGAGCCTTAAAATAACATTCGTATTTTGGCAATAGCGCAATCTGATCATGTATAGTAGTATGCTTACTAACTTTTCCTACTAGCAGGCCCTAGCATCAGTTGCGTAGGCAGTGGCGGATCAAGGAAATTCGGACGAACCCCCTATCTGTAAAGAAATGTAACAAAATACTACAGGGTCCTGGCTTACAAAAGGATCAGTGGTCCTTGGAGCAAATGTTAGGAATAGGCCCCTCCAGACACTCCGAAACTCTCAGACTCTCTCAGACGGTAAACATACTTTTTCAAAGCAGTGTTTCCAAACAAAATTATTGAATTCTCCCGACGGCAGTTATGCTCCCTCGTATGCTTCTCCTCCCTTAGACACCCCTGGGGCAGATGCAGGATTTGGCGGTAGGAGGTGCGTGAGGGTCCACCTCACTGCCCCCCACCATGGTTGGGGCTGAGGGAATAGACAATTTTGAGAATATGGACCTGTCAGGCGTTGATCCAGAGTTTTAGCTCGGTTTTCCAGAATCGCTCACCCTATCGCCGACAGTCGTGATAGTTGCAGTTCACAGACGAATCGGATGCCTTTCCGATTGCGCAGGGCAGTTATCAATGCACCCTGATTCGTTGAACAAGGTTCAACCTTCCCGGCAACTGTCGCCGATAGGGTGAGCGATTTTATGGAAACCGAGCTTTACCCTGACTATTTGCACATAATGGGTTCCATGAGTGGGCGGGGTCATGGGAAGAAAATGTAATTGATTGTTCCGTCGCTGGAAGATTATTTTAGACGTGGGGTTGGGGGTGGTTTGCAGTAGTCTGGTGTTCTCCTAGCTTAGCAAAGTTTTGTTTTGTCTAGATGCTGAGAAATGCACTTCGTGCATTACGAGACTTTTATTGATGAATGAATACACACTGAATTAATAGATTTCCCCATTTTAGCATGGGCAATTAATAATTGCGATGATGAAGATGATGGTGATGACGACGACGATGATGATGATGATAATGATGATGATGATACTGATGATGTGATGATGTTAGGGAGTAGAAGGCATCGTATCAGGTGACGACGGGCTCCTGTGTAAGGTTAATTAACATGCCCTTTAATATGAGTGTCAACCGAGGCCCGTATCCCGAGTTTGTCGTCACATTTGCAATGCACACAGTCGGACAACAGTAGT